ATTGATACATAGCATTTTATAATAAAATATAATGGATTTCGGTTTTCACATTGTGCATGATGGATGTGATTCATTGCAGAAATGATACAAAATCCTTAATTATACTGCATCTGTTAAACTATGGCGCAATACTAGTATTCAGTACCTTGTTTGGGTGGGTCCCTCACAAACACATACATACACACACAGTCTGGGAGCTGTGCAGCCAGGAAGCAGATCAAAAGCAGGAAAGGGAGAGCGAGTGAGGGGAGAGGAAGGAAAAAGAGTAAAGTCATATTTCCCAGGAGGGGGTTCCTCCTTCTCTCTGCAGGACAGACAGACAGAAAGGAGGTGGGGGGTAGGGAGTTAATCTCTGAATACTGATACACAAAGTAAAAAAACAACAACTGTAATAACCAAACATATATACATTTTTGTGCTGTTAGGGCAAACAAAGGTTCCATGGGCTTTACCCTTTTGCCATGAACTTGATTTTCACATCAATTTCTCAACAGACTGAATAAGGGAGCTGCTTTTAATGTAAGGTTTTACGACTCTGTTTGGCTGTATATTTTTGTGTCTTTGCTTTATGTGGGATAATAAATAAAATACACTAGGAAATAAAATACGCATACACTGATCTTACTGTTGTTTGTTTGACAATGCAGAGGACCTCAGGCTGGACAGTGAAATACCAACCATCCCAACAGGGTTCGCTGAGCATTACCCTCAAATCAGTTCACCTATTAGTGTACGTCCAGTGTAGAATATTGCCATTTTTGTGTATTGTTTTGGGTAAAAAAGCTATGCACAAACATGTTATGGCCCTAAAATCAAAACAGTGAGCTGAAAAATGCAAAAATGCTCCATGGAGCTGAGGGAACAGCAGGGCTGGGGATAATTCTCTATGGGTCATCATTACGTCACCTCTTTCACATTAAACACGGTCATGTGATGCACTGTTGATCACTTCTCTATATGTAAAAATGTATCGGTTAAAACAGAGCTTCCGTTACAACAGGGCTCCACAGGACAGACAGAGGAAATCTTTCCTACCCAAAGCTATCTCTCACCTCTGTCTAAAAGAGAACTCTGCTTTATAGTTTCTGTTCTTTTACCTCCTCTCCTGTAAACTTCAATCCACTGTCTTGTATATAGTATTCTATCCTATATTTCTATTTCATATTTTATATTTATATTTTATAGTATTTTATATTGTATTTTAGGATATTCTGCATATTGTGTATTCTATAAATATTTGTTATTTATTGTGGTTATTTTCTTAATTTCTGACAACTTGCTGCAGCAAATAATTTCCTAACATGGGATCAACAGTACATACTTGTGATACTTAATGATAGCAGCTGATGAATGGGCAGATAGAGGAAGAGTGGTAGTTGTAATTTTTCCTTGGGACTGCACTAGTTCTGAATACAACCCATTTTTTTATGATGAGAACACAGCAAATAGTGCACTGGATTGTCATATTTTTTGACCACAGCCTCTCAGCTCCCTGGTGGTCTCTATCTTCACTCTCATTTTGTTTGTTTTTTTCCTTTTCTTTCTTTTTTTGGAGATGTTTCTTGGCAAATCAATACTATAACATAAGCCACCTGCAATATGTGAATGAGTAACCTTCATACACATAAAACAGTACTGAACCAACAGTAAAAATGCTGTCCTACTTGTTTTTTGCAAGAAACAGCAAGCCAGCCTAAGCATGGTTCAGGCCACTGCTGGGCCTCTTTTAGTTCAAATAAAATGCTTAAACATGTTGATTTGCATTGGAAGCAAATTAACACCGACTTAAACACACACACACACACACACACACACACACACACACACACACACACACACACACACACACAGTAGCTGTATTCCAGATGTGAGTACTGTGTGTTCTGTGCCGCCCTCATCTAGTTGTTGATCTCCTATGGAGTCTGAGAGGCATGGTAATAACAGACAAACAGGAAGAGGACCATCATAAATGTAGAGATCAAACACACGCACACACACACACACACACACACACACACACACACACACACACACACACACACTTGGCTGTAACTCCAGTCCCATGGTTCTCTCGCCAGCAGTGAGCTCATTAAAATGTGCAAGGCGACCCCTCTCGTCCTCATGCTCCCTCATCTCTCCTCCATCTCTTCCTCTCTTTCTTTCCCAATCTTCCTCTTATTTCAATACAAAATATCACACACTTTCTCTTCATCAGTGACTTTGCTTCGCTCTCTCCCCACATCACTCTAACGATCCATTTATTGATTCTGGGATTAGATCACACTGTCAATGCACAGTTCAATATACTGTTTCAGTCCTACAACTGATATAGCTACTTGAAGTGTGTGTGTGTGTGTGTGTGTGTGTGTGTGTGTGAGAGAGAGAGAGAGAGAGAGAGAGAGAGAGAGAGAGAGAGAGAGAGTGTGTGTGCGTGTTTGGGGGAGGGTGGCTCTCCTTTAATGAATGGTTGCCGGGTAGAACAGGAGGCGTGAGGGAGGAATTTGTTAATTATGAATGGAGCACTTCTCTCTGGATGTGAACAACACACAGTGTAAGTATGTGTGTGCATGTGTGTGTGGTTCGGCATTCGAGAGTGTATGGGTATGTGGTAACATATGTGAGTATGTGCCTTGTGATTGTTTTAATCAGAGGGTTGCCAGTTTGAATCTGTAGACTAAGTAATACTAGTTGAGGTGCTCATGAGCAAGGCATCCTGGGTTGATCAGACCAGAGCAGCATGGAGCCGTTCAGTTTTTAAATTAGAACCAGAGGAAATCCCCCACTAGAGTTTCATGAAATCTAATGGAGGAGATAATGCAATTTTATCCAATACACTGCATATGAACTTTGAGCTACCTGGTAATTAAAGCGTGCTTCATATTAGTTCATTTTTTATTGTGAAATAAAAACAGGGTTCCCAAACGTCCTGGAAAAGCTAGACATTAAGAGACTAGTTTCCCACTCATGGAAACACTTGGAAATTGATTAATATGAACAAATGGGAAATACTAATAATCAGTGCATATATTCTGTTTGTAACTCGACTGTTGGTAGGATAAGCTACATGGTATGACACTTCAGCGCTCCCTTTACGTTCCGGCTCCCATGTCAATCAAGAAACTTGCAGTGAACTTTAGGCATGTAGTGTACACGCATGGATGTAAACGGTTAAATCAGCATGCATACAGCCAGCCTATTAATTAACATTTATTGTTGTGATTGATAAATACTGGACAGCATTAATTGTACATTCAATAAAAACTTTCTACCTCTTCTTTTAATAAAAGGACCTAAGATGACTTGGACTATGGCTAAATTAATGTTACGATTAGAGGAACACTTTAGTCAATTGGCCTTGGTGAGAACAGTTTAGCGCGCTACACACACATAAACACTGATCACCGTTGTGAACAAGCGCTGTCCTGTTGAAAAACTCCTGGAAAATGATTTCTTAAAAAGAGTGGGAAACCTGAATAAGCAGTTTTGGAGTTATTGTATGACATAAACATAAAAAACATTGAATTTTCTTATTTTGGTCAATTAGATACACTTTTTTTAGCCTATATCAATTATAAATACTACTTCACTCACTAGTATCCCTAGGAAAATAATAATAATGATCAGTGCCAGTGCAGGAAGTAGTGTGTTTTTAGCAAGGCAGACAATAAAGGTTGGGTTGAGGTTGTGGTAGTGGATTGTAGCTGTGTGACTTCAGGCAGAAAAGGGTAGTTTGCTTTCCATTATGAACTTAAAATGAATTATTATTAACCATAACCCGATCTTTCCCTAACCTTATCCAAGTGTTTTAGTCACCTAACCCTAACCAGACCCCAACCATAGTTTATTTCCCATAACCATGATCATTCCCTTGACCACACAGTAGGGGCCAAACGCAGTTAATATGACAAGTTTTAAAACAGTATACTACAAATTTATATGATTTACATTTCCTGTTGTCATACCACAAATATGGTTGAGGTGGAGTTAGATGTTCACATAAGGTGACCAACAGTTACAGTAAAAGGGAAACCAATTCAGTCTTCAGCCACGCTAGCGCGGCAGAGCTTTGAGCTAACTGCAAACCTTAAAAGTTTAATTCTGAAATTATGGATTGAATCATTTTGGAAAAGTTACCATCCCCCCATTTTTTTCCCAAAACACTGGCGTTTTTCAGTTTTGGATGAAAATATTAATCTGGTGCACAACATTGTGGAACAACGCCCTTCCTCCCTCTGCACTCCCTGCATTTCACTGTGTAAGCCTGTCTAAGCCCTTATGATAAACAGTGTCTCTCGAGGAAATCCCATTTGGCTGCTGTTTAATCTGAATTTTCCAGTGTGTACATTTCAGTGGCAGCAGTGATTATGGTATTCTCTAGGCACTGTATACTGTATAAGCCTTACCTTTGCTGGCAAGTCTTTAAGTACATAGCATGAGAGTGAGGCTATAATCACAGTTCTTTTGTTGGCCCTCCACCTGTACAGCGGCAGCAGTGGCTCTTAGCACCTTGTTTGGAAGTTAGCGGTGTCTGCCATCACTTAAACTGACTTAAACTCCAGGGTCAGCTTTTTCCACATGGACCTACTCTGCCTTAAAATAGACTGGTGTTTACAGTTGCAGGTTAGTCGCTCACGAAACTGGGTCTCTGAGCGGTTGGCTCTGACACAAACACACTCACGAGACACTACTTTATTTGGACGAAGCCGGAGTGTGTAGAATATACGAGAGGCAGATCAGTGTCTTGTGTAAATACTGGCTGGATACAAAAGCTTGGTAGTTGTTCATCTGTTTGAAGAATACAATGCTTTTACCAGCATTTACTTTACACAGCACAGTAATGGCTGTAATGTAAATATTGATCACAGCTTTGTGTGGTTTCCGTGGAGCAAGAAAAGTGCCTTCTGTGGTAAACATGCAATGACACGCTTTGGTAACATCTGTATGTGTATGCATGTGTGTGTGTGTTTCATCATATGAACCCGGCTGTTTTGTGTTTCCAGGGGCAACCAGAGATATCGGTTCAGCTCTGACCAGGATGTGCATGAGGCATCGCAGCATTGAGGCCAAACTTCGCCAGTTCACCAAGTAAGTATACGTCCTTCCTTTCCTCCTGTCTATCCTTCTTGACCTCCTTCTTTTCCTTCCTTTCCTTTCTTTGCTGACCTTAAACTAGGGATGTGCATCTCCATCTCTGAGACTGAAGAAAAAGCAATTACCAGTGCGATAAGATTCACCCCTATTGCGATGCAGTGTGATTCGACACGATTTGATTCAATACGATGCAATTCAATGCGATATGATGCGATGTAAAGCAATATGATGTTATGCAATTCAGCATTGTAGCTATAGTTTGATTTTATATTCTATTGGGCACATTTCTAAATAATAAATGCATAGGGCCTCTACTAAAATCTTATATAAATTAATAATTTTTTACTAATGCAAAGATGTTAGAAATGATGCATCCCGAGTTCATCCAAAACTGTATCCAATGCGCACCCTTTTAATCCTTGCAATGAATCTCACCATCCCTACCTTACACTGTAGCTCATCAGGGTTTTTCACAAGTCAAACCTGTGTGTATTTTCATCTGAACCTGACTATGTTTCTAGAGTTATGATGGGTCAAATGCTTGGTGAGGTTTTCCTGTTAGCTGTATGGATTCCATTATGATCATTGCTCTGTCTGTACATATTTAAATGACTGTAAATGAATACAACCATTGGCACGCAACAAAAAACCACTCTGGAAACCTCACCGAGGGTCTGTTTTCAACCATTGTTTGCCTTCTGCTTCATTCTCCATACTGTGTAATGACTTTTCCATGGCAAAAGCTATTACATTGATGGTGATGATGATGATGGTGATGATGATCTATGACCATGGTAATGACATGAGTTCCTTTGAAGAATGAGTCAGTCTAAAAGCTAATGTGAGACTGTGTGTCTGTGGAGCCTATGTGTGTGCATTTGTATCACATATGTATGCGTGTGTGGATAGGGAGGGTGGGGGGCAGTGTTCCAGATACTAAAATTATGAAGTGGAACGACACATGGAGGGAATTTATATAATGATCTCATTCCGGAAATATATTGTAGCTTCCTATTTCCAGTGGGCCTTGGTGGTCGTAATATGGGGGTCGCTACTGTTTACACTAAGTCAGTCTCTTGTCAAGACACCACACAATGGAAACATTAGTCAGAGGATTAATTTTCAATGAAACAAGCAGTTATGGGCATTGTGTCTAAGCTGTCTCTTAACTTATGTACCTTCCTCTTAAATCCCTGTCTCTCCTACAGTGCTCTGATGGAGAGTCTGATCACTCCTCTCCAGGACAAGATTGAGGACTGGAAGAAGACAGCCAACCAGCTGGATAAGGATCATGCCAAAGGTACGCAGAATCCGCAAAATGATTCACCTAAAATACATAAGTTAACTATATAATGTAGTTAAAACATCAGTGTGGTTAGGTTCAGTCAACAAAACTAGTGATAGTTAGCTCGTCTGGGAGTGGTAATGATGGGAGCAAAGGATGAACATTGTATGAAGAGCAAATAAATCAACACGGGAAGTAAGGTTGGGGTGGATGGGTGGCACAAACACAGGACTTCAACACGAGAGATCTGGGTTCAGTTCCTGTGTGAGACCATTTCTTTCTCTTTTCCATGATTTTTAATATCCCGCGATTGTCACAGTAAAGGGAAATACGAATCTACTGTGTGTAGAACCCATCACGCTGCAATCTTTTGCATACTAGAGTTAACGTGTGAGGTAACAGGGAAATTAAATTCCACTGACTGACAGCAAGTCATGCTAGGACACCGTCCACGCACCCTTGGTTTAACTCCTTTTTACTTCCTGCGTGATCAGGGAAAATCCCCTCTGTCGCTTGCTGACAAATACATGATACCATGGTTACTAGATGAGATCACAACTGTAAACATTGCTTAGAAAATCACTATCATCTTCTACATCTTTGATAGTAAAAAGAAAATGTGAAAGAACACTTAGACTTATTTGTATGTATTATTATAAGAGTTCACAGAGAGGGCTTTACATTCCTGTTACTAAAGCATCTCTGTTCATCCTTTTTCCAGAGTACAAGAGGTCTCGGCACGAGATCAAGAAGAAGTCATCTGACACCATGAAACTACAGAAGAAGGCTCGTAAAGGTAACAGGCAGCAGTCAAACAGTCGAGCTCAGACTCCTCTCACATTAGACGGAAGGTCACATTGTAGAGGTCAAATGGCGTTTTGCTAAGAACACTTACTCACTTACTCAGACAAAATCAATTCTACTGGTATCAGTGGTGTTTCTGTGTAAGTGCTGGAGCTGTGGATACATTTGGACATTCTGTTCATTTTTACCTCATTTATCTCTATGTTCTCTGTCACACCCTGGCTCTTAAGACAAAATATGAGAGATACACCACTTTAAAGAATAACAAAAAGTAATTTATTGAACAAAAAGTCAAATTATGAACTGAACAACTAAATACTTTAAATATAGAGTGTGTATACCAGGGTAGTCAGTAGTGTAAGGTGTGCATGAGGGAGAATGTGTGTGTATGTTGTAAAGTGTACAAAACAATATAAGATGAGGCCACGCTGCAGTCCTCACACCACTGGCAACAAATTAATACAAATCAAAGAACAAGTTAGGACAACTCAAACAATACAAACCAGTAGCAGCAGAGAGCTAGAATGGGCAACAGGGCCTTGATTATATAGCCTGGGAGCACCGGGCCCAGGTGTTCCCAGTTGGCAACAATTAACCCCCAGTCAACGCCACAATCTGACCTGGCACAAACAAACACCAAACACTCAGTGACACCAGGGGGCGCCACAGTCTCACCACTGTTTCTAGTGGTGCTAGTGAATAGTAAATCAACACCAACAACAATGTTCCCTGGGTCAAAACTAGATTAAATGTTGATTTATGGTTTGATTGGGATGCATAATACAAGCATTACCAAACAGACTCAAAATACAGTGATTAGATTCAATGCAAACACACACATACTGAAAAATGTGTTATTTACTGAGGTCAGGAGCCATAGACTTTATACAGTCTAAGTCAAAAGTATTGTTGGTCTATACTGCCATCTAGTGGTGCTTGGTAGTATTTCAGGTCTTTTCTCATTTGTCCTGAAACCCTTCACTCAGTGATGCAGCAACCAATAATTAGTGCTTTCTAATGGAGAAGCTTCCATTCAGTTGCCAGGCAGATGAATACATGAATGCAAGATGTCTGTATATGAGTACATTTCAAAATAATATTCTTATTTTATATATATTCTGTTGTTGTCTCTTTTGTTAGAAGCAACTGTATGACTTTATCACTTTATGAGTTTATGTTATGTACATTGAATCATTAAATGAAAAAAAATGTAACCATAAAAAAAGAAATAATACAACATTTGGTGAATGTGCATTGTCCTTTGCTGTTAAGTTTGCGGGTGTCTGGTTAGCCCTGTCAGTGCTGATGCTTGGTGGTATTATTATTTGTGGGTTTAGTTTTTGGTTGCAGCAGTGTTATTTTGCTCTAACCTGTGGCACTGTGGCTGTCTTGTGATGCCTTCCTTGTACTAACCTTAACAATGAGTTCTGCTATTTCTGCTCTCTCTCCCCCCTTTCTCTCTCTCTCTCTCCCCCCTTTCTCTCTCTCTCTCTTTCTCTCTCTATGTCCCCCCTTTCTCTTTCCTTATTTTGCTTCCTTTTTGCTGTCTCCCATCCCTCTGTCTTTCCCTTCCCGTGGTATTTTCCCCCTGTTATAGAGATGCAGGGTAAGTATCAGCCTATCGCTCGCTACAGCCCTGCCACATCCCTTCCTTTTTACTCACATTTCCAACCTCCTCCTGCAGATTACCATACACGCATGTATGTAGTGGAGGCTCAATCAATCCAACACATTACTTATTGGTTATTACTGAATTTAGGATACAAGGGTAGTGACCATGGGAATGTTTCTGTGTATATTAGGCACTTGTTTTACAATATGGAATATAGACATGGAAGTTGACATCAGGGCAACAGAGAGTGCCTTAGAGACTTATTAGTGAGCATACATGTATTGTGTGAAATGCACCACACAAGCACAAAATAAACCAATATAACAAAAGTCTTAGCGGTCCAGTGTGTAGGATTTAGTGGCATCTAGCAGTATAGTTGCAGATTGCAACTGTCCTCCTCTACACCCTCAAAAATGTTGGACACACTGGACCTTTTAAAGCTAGATTCTATCTCCGGGCCCCTCGATAAGACGGGGCCTCGATATCAGGTTACAATACAGGTGCTGTCTTAAGTCCGCTACCGTTTTAGTTTAAGTTTTAGTTTAAACGTTAAAACACATATATAAGGTCCTCAGAGACCCCAGGACCATATTACGGCCCGTCTAATTCCTTCATTTTGTTCAGTTAAGCCCCTCCTCAAAATATTTGTTTTTAACAATCTATAGTATCAAAGTGTCCAAATTACTTGCTTTTTATATGTTTTTCTTTAAAAGGTTTATAGGGTCTTTAGAAACATTTGTACATATTTTTTCAAGGTATGGCAGTGGCAGATAACAGCAGGTAGCACTGTGTTTTTTCTGTTCGGCCTCATGTATATTATTGCAGACAAAAGGATAAGTTTCTTTATGTTAGCTTACTACAGCACCAGTGTGTCAGGTTCACTGCAGAGCAACACTTTCTTTGATACTGAAGAGTTTAGTGGGTATTGAAAAATATATGAAGAAGATGCCTTGATTTTGAAAAACAAGTTGCAACAGTTTTGTCTACTGGTGACAGACTAGAGTTCAGCTTCTACAGTTTTGTAGTTGTTTGAGAAGTTGGAGTCGTGCAGGTTTCACCCCCGACAACGCATGATGTAATTTAACTTTTCCTCCTTGACTCCTGCATGACTTCTGTAGCTGCTACTGTTAGCTTTGTAGTCACACAGCAGCCTCGTGCTGTCCCATCTCTCTTGTTGCTGCAGACATCTGCGCTGACTGTTTTGCATGCTGTAACACTACAAAGAGTTATTTCATGTCTTGCTTTCCATTCAGCGCATTTCATGTTTATTTCTGTTAATGGTAGATAGGATTCTGATTTTCTACTCCATACTTATGCACCTATGTCTTACCTTTGTCATCAAGAGGTTTAGTAAAGTTTTAAGACAGAAACACATTATTTGTGCTTTGGCTCTGTACTACTATTACGCTGGGTGTGGACTGAGACAGAGACAGAAGTAAATTGCACACTCTCACACATTGTGATCAACTTTGTATGGATACATTTAGCCCACATCTTAGATGACACAATGAGAGACCACAGCAAAGCAATCATAAGCTAGACTGGCTGTCTTTCCCAAAAAGTGGCCAAAGTGACAGCACAAAAGACACATGCCATTACAAGTAAGTATCCAAGTCGGAACTGTCTTGCAGTCGAATTTGACGGCAACAGAGACTCTGCAGTCCCTCTCAGCTCTGCGGTTTTAGGTTTGGTTTTAGTTGCAACTTTACTGTTTTGTTTCACACTCGCTGCTCTCATCAGTACTGTTTTTGGCCACGGCAGGCACTTTTATTGAGCACTCTAAAAACCCGACTATACACTAGTTGTCCAGCAACAGCAGGCAGACATGGTTAGAGACCAGCTGGTGAACAAAGTGGAACATTTTATTGGTAAAGAGCCAGATATTCTCTCTCTCCAGATATTAGAGACTCAAATGTGTCAGGTGGACGCACTCCAAATGATTGCTTATGTTGCTCCGTGCCTGTTGGATGTGTAAATAGGAAACTAATTGTGTGGCTTATAGGGTACAGTAGTGCTTTTTATGTCCCTCTATACATAGTATGTAGGACATTATGTCATTTGTGTGGCTGCTGTCTGTCTAATATAATGACATATAATATAATATAATGCACTTACTGTATAGATTCCACATAAAATTAAGTACAGAGCCAAAACATCAAACAAGGTGTTGCTTCTTACTTTGTCTCATAATGTATGCTAGTGATTTGATGGAGCAGTGCATTATTGGAAGCAGAGGCTGGTGGGGAGATATCCCATCAAGCCAACACTTTGTTAATGCTTGTTTTTTTCTACTACTGTAAATACACTTTTTCTGCCTTTCACTTACACTATCTTCACCTTCATCCCTTTTTCCTATAAATCCTTTTCATCCACCTCGTCTGGTGAAAACCCCTCCTCGACCTGCCTGTCTCACTCTCTTCTACCTGATATTTTTTTCCTCTCACCTCCACCAATGTACCGTCCCCACCCCAGGGCGAGGCGACCTGCAGCCTCAGCTGGACAGTGCCATGCAGGATGTGACTGACATGTGCCTGTTGATGGAGGAGACAGAGAAGCAGGCAGTGCGCCGGGCCCTTGTGGAGGAACGGGGTCGCTTCTGCACCTTCATCGGCTTCCTTCAGCCTGTCGTGGTGAGGAGATAGAGACGGAGGGATGGTGTTAGAGTGGAGGGAAGGGAGGAGGGAAATGTGTTGGGGGCACAAGCACTTTCTGACCCGCTGCACAGTGCGACCTTATTGTTGCTGAGCAGCTCCACTGATTAACGGAAGTGAGTAATGACAGAAGGCTGTATATGGGGCTGAGCAATGAAATGATTACCATAATATTAATAAGAATATGTGTTTTATATTATTATGGGAAATTTAGGGGAAATAATATATCAAATATTCAAATTAATGTGCAGTGCAATGAGCTAGTCCAGCTTTTATATATTACATCGGGAAAAAGTCTTTATGTGTACAACAAACACCAACTGAAATCTAATCTAAATCATTCTATATGAATGTACACAATGACACTGTCTGAATTTAAATGTCATGTTGAGATGTCAAGATTCACTCTCTTGATTGACACATCCCAGCTGCTGTACCTTATCTCTTTTAGTGCTGGCATGTCACCCTTCTCTGTCGCAGCTGAACAAGGAGAAACATTATTGATGTATAAAAATATCTCCAGCTCTGAAAGTGTTAAAATGATACTAAAAGACATTTGGTGAGAAATCAGGTGAAAGAATATACTCCAGATTTATATATTTTTATTACTGATGTGAAGTACGGATGTCTCTCTCTTGTTCTTTTTAGAATGGAGAGATCGCCATGCTGGGAGAGATCACCCACCTCCAGGCCATCATCGATGACCTCACTGTGCTGACAACCGATCCTCACAAACTGCCCCCAGCTAGTGAACAGGTGAGACACCAACACGACACGCAGATCATGTATGAAGAAAGAAAGAAATAATCAATAGACATCAGCGACAATATCTGTATTTATATCTGTACTCTGAAAGGGTGGGGCTTAAACTTAAAAAGAGTTGATCAGAAGTATATATTTATTATATTATTATATACAGCTATTTACAGAACAGCCTCAGAATGGAGCTTCAGAGCAATGTTTTTGATCAGAAGAGTAAGACAACTAGTTAGTCTACATCTACAGTTTACATCGATTACAGGTTATTTAAAAAAAAGTTTCTATATTTACGAATTAACACATAATACTCTTATGATACTCGCAATAATAAAAAGTACATTATCTCATACTCTTTTCAGCCGAGTACTCACTCAACCCTACTAAACCTCCCTCTCTTTGTCTCTGCTTCAGGTGATCAAGGATCTGAAGGGCTCAGATTACAGCTGGTCCTACCAGACCCCTCCTTCATCTCCAAGCAGCTCTGGCTCCCGCAAGAGCAGCATGTGCAGGTACTCACAATTACACACATGTACAAACACCATGTGTTATAAACTGTGTCAGAAAGAGGAGCCTTCTCTGATGTGTTTGTTTCACTGCGACTGTCAGTCTCTCTGTCTGTGTGTCAGCCCATCGTCACTGTTCGTCCAGTCATCGTCAGTTCAGTGGAACCTCCAGATAAATGAACCACAGCCTTCAGACGGAGGAACATTGTGTAGAAGTGCAGATTTTCTTTATGAACAGCTGAATGAGAGATGACAAAATATATAGAATTTTAGCATAAATCATAGACGCCAGCATGTGGGCAATCTCTGCTTTCTTTAGCTGTAAAAGCCTACAGTTCTCTAATTCAGGATCCTTGGATAACAAAATGAATACTACAAGAAGAATAGTGTAAACTGAAAATGTATTCCTGTAGTTCTTTGTCTGAAACAAATCATTTGGTGTGTGTGTGTGTGTGTTAACTATGTCTGTCAGTGTGTGCATGCAGTAGCAGTTTCCCTCAAGGCGAAGCTCTAAAGCATGCAAGTTCAGAGCCTTTTGCCTGCAGTGTCTACTCTGTGTGTATATATGTATGTGTGTGTGCGTGCCCTGGATCCTCATAAGTTTACACACTCTCTGTCTACCCCCTCTTGCCCCTTTTTCTCCCCCTTCTCCCTCACCACAACCATCACTCTCTGTGCTTGCTGCTTTCTCCCCTTGTCTGTCTCCTATCTTTGCTGTCTTATGTGTGTGCACTCGTGTGTCTTGCCCTCTTTCTCTCCTGGTTACCTGGTTTCCTTTCATTTTGGGGTCTTTGCTTTTAACTGTGTGTGACTTTCACTGACCTGATAAACCAACAACTTGCTGTGGAACTACTCCTGAACCTCACCCCATCACGTAAACCAATCCCAAAATCTCCCAATCATCAATTTACCATCTTCCAATCCAATAACCAACCCCTCATATCTTACACAATTTGTTTCCTAAATTGAACCATCACTTTGACACATCCTTGTCATCATGTTCTTTCCCCCTAAATACTCTCCTTACTCCACATTGGCGACCATCACCTTCATCCTCCCCTCACCCTTCCGTCACTCCGCTCTCTACCCTGCTCCTCTGCACCTTTCCCCGCCACCCTCCTGCAGCAGCGTCAACAGCGCCCACAGTAGTGCCTCCCGTTCATCAGGGGGAGGCGGTAGTGCTGGTATTGGTGGCGGTGGTGGAGGCTCTCAGCCCCACTCACCCACCTCATCCTCCTCCTCCTCCTTACGCTACCGCAGCAGCCTGCCGCACCAGCCTCCACCACCGGGGGGCATTGCCGCCCACCGCCTCAGCAGCGTCTCCTCCCACGACTCAGGCTTCGTGTCCCAGGATGCAAACATCTATTCCAAGCCCCCCTCGCCCATGCCCTCAGACATCACTAGCCAGGTACCGTACGCACACACCCTAATATACACACCTTTATGTACACAAATGTGGTAATGAGCCCTAACATTTTGGTATCCAGCCATGCAACTGAATTGGCAGCAGAAAGTTAACATTTGATTTTCCAAATTGATTTACTTTGGAAACTGACCAGAATTATCTCACCTCACTGGTATTTTTAGCTTTTTAAAAGAAAAGATGGATATTGAACCTTCACACACACACACACACACACACACACACACACACACACACACACACACACACACACACGCACACACACACTGCTCACATGAACATTGTTCTTGATCAGTTTTGGCAAATAAATCAGTGAACAAAGCTTTGTGTTTCCCTGCTGTAGAAGTCATCCAGCTCAGCATCATCAGAGGCCTCAGAAACATGCCAGTCAGTCAGTGAATGCAGCTCCCCCACCACTGTAAGTACTCTTATTCACACTGTACAATATTATTGGATATCAACATTTACAGTTAAAAGCAATTCATGTGTGGCACAAATAGGAAAGAACAGGTACATTTTGTTATCAATGCATCTTTATAATCAGAACTATGTATACGTTTATTCCGTAACAGAGGACCAATAAATACATATAAAACTTGTCTCTTTATATTAAATAGATCATTTGTATGTATTGTTTTGTTTAAAATGGGAGGAAATTGCATTAACCCCATCAACCACATCAGCAACAGAAGGAGATAACTGTGAAATGTAAGACTTCAGTAAGTCCTCCACAAGTGGCATCAGTAGACTGTACACAGCATTCCCATATGTACCAGTCTGTGATACTGATGCTATAAGGCAAAGAGTTTAGAGGGTAAATAAACAATGGTGAATGCAATGTGCAGAATGATGTATGTGCAGATAGACTCTGGAAGCATGTTTTCACATTCATCTGCTGCAAGTGGAAAAGTTTGCTGAAAGTTTCTCTGTGCTCATTGAAAATCTGATTTTTAAGGGATGGGGCCTATCAGCATGATTTGTGACATCACAACAGTGTGATGTAGAAACTGGAAGCCACCAGTGTACATATACTGAGAATTGACTTTACAGTGAAGTAGGAGACATCTTATGTCCAGCAGGAAAATAAAATGTGCATATTCATAGATTCAGTCATTTTTAATGGGGTAGAAGGAGTTGATGACTTTTTAAGGATTTTAATGTGGAAATTATAGTTATTTATATTTTGTGGAAAAAACCCATCAGACACACAATATTGTTCTAAGCTGACTATTTGTATATGTGTTGATACATGTCTGGAGCGGATCTTTAAACCTTCTGATATTATTTGCCAAGGTCAGAAGATAATGCCACCTGTTTACTCAGTTCGCCCATTATACAAACAATTGGTCTCTTAGTGTTTTCATAAATCCCTTCAAGCAGTTTGCAGATATAACTTTACCCAACAATGTATTCGATTTTTTTCACAGAAAAAAACTTGTGGTCAAATGGAGCTATTGTTAAAACAGCTGTGATAATTGTGGTGATAAAAAGTCATTATAGAACACAATTATGCAACACATGCTGTTTCAAATGATACGCTGCATTCACCAAGGTAGCAGGAGTTGTATTTTAAGAGTTTAATGGAGTTTTGAAAGCAGTGGGAGATTTCGACTGCTGTATAACCAGGCTAACCTGCAACAGAACAGACAGTAGTGGCTCTATGGGTGCTAAATGGTCTTCCAGCAGAGAATGCTTTTTGGTGGTTCAGTATCAAGCAACGTGAAATCATACACCATCGACTTACTTTACGAGAGTAAAAATGCACCTCAGACATGAGGAGTTGGTTTGATTAATGGATTCCCATACTTTCCAGCTGAAAAATATTTGTTGCAGGTATTAGACTCAAAGGTCAGGTACATAGTGCAAAGTGGTCTCGCTAAGCACATAAGGAATATTTTCCTCACCTGCTCATGTTTTGTATTTTGGTTTGTTTTGTTGGCTTGCTTCAGTGGTTGAGTGTGATTAGCAGTTCAGCCACAATTAGAATTTTGGTTTAAAGATTAGCATCGTCGTCACAACTCAGATGCAATCTATGCATGAAACACTTGTATTCTGTGCTGTTTTCACCACTTTAATTGGTGGTGGCACACTCATATAAACCTCTCAAAAATCACATATTCCTTGTATTTATGTTCAAGAGCTTGTTTCCTTCCCTTTCATTTTATATTCTTCAACCAGTATGCACATCTGCTTGCGAAAAGAAAAAAAATTCCAATGACGCTCGTGAGGCAAAGTAAATATTCCTGTCTGATTTCAAGCAGCATCTATCATCCACAACAGCTTGCATATATGACTGCCTTCCCTTTCAGTTGATTAACAGCCTTAACAGCCATCTGACGGCAGTAAGTTTGTGCTCTAATTTGAGTGAAACGCATTCTCAAGATGGATTGCATGGCCCAAATCCACTGGTTACCTTGATTAAATCTCTCACAGTAGAAACAATGTTATCAAAAGAAAGTTACCAGTGGCTATTTTCTGTGCTACAGTGATGCAGAATTACTGTCGAATCAAATCCATCGGAATTTTAAATGCATGCTTGGGGCTGCTTTAATTCATCCCATGACATTTCTAACATAAACATAGAAAGTAGCTGTCAAAATGTAGGCCCTCTAGCCTTCACTGACTAGTTCTTAGACTAATTCCATAGCTTGCATATATAGAGTCATTGATCCATGTACCAGTAACTAATTGTGTTTTGAAGGCTTTTTCTATTGCCAAATCTGTTCCTGCTCTTCTTTCACACTGAGGACTTGGTGTGTGAGTGTCTATTGTAGGTGTGTGAATACATGTGTTTCTTTTATTCTCATGTGTTTGGCCCGGTGATCCCCCACCACAGCCGACTGCCTGTCTCTCTTGGTCTCTCTTGTGTCTGTCTTTTTCCTTTCTCTGATGACGCGACTATGTCTCTCATCCCGCAGTTTGGCACATCCTTCGCTACCTTCCGCCCCGCTCTCTCTCACTCTGGCTCCACCAGGCCTCTCTCTGTCATTCTTCCTGTTCCTGCGTCCCCACCCTATACCCGCCCCCCTGGATCCAGCTCCTCCTCTCCCACATCAAAGGTTCCTATCTGGAAGGTTTGTTCTCCATTCGCTTCCATTTCTTCAGTTGCACCTTTTCTTCTGTTTCAGTTTAATACATTTAAGTTAATGCATTGGGTTTATTTTCTTTTCATTTCCATCACCTGATTAACTCATACATAACCACATTGCTTTGCTTCCTTAAAGTCTCCACCCTCACTTGCTGTGTGTGCATGAATTTTTTATTTTTTTTTGGCCCCCTCCTGGCTCACTCATGTGTTTTGCAATCTACCAACTTGAGATTGGCCAAAACTAAGCGGGGCGTGACGAGCTGACCAGTCAAACTCATCAACATGAACACATTCAAACGCCCCAAAAGGCCCCTGCCCACATACACCCACACACCCGCACTCTTCCACGCACCTAGACACACTCCACCCATATGGCCCCCCTCTCTCTGCACTCAGATGAAGGGCTTCAAACTGCTGGATAGTGGACAAGTCTCTCGTGCTAATCCTTCCTGCTACTTCCTGTTTATTAATTCGACTCACCTCTTCAGGATTGGTCCAAAGCAGGTCAGTATGAGCAGCCAGTGGCTGCGGCGGCAGTTCAGAGGAGAAGGGAACCTCTTGATAGACTGAGGGAGAACGAGGCATCACCCGGCTCCCAGGGATACGCCGGGCCGTCACACCTTGATGACATGCAGAGATCCAGGATGACCCCGGCTACCATTGCTGCCAAGGTAACGCTGGATATAGGAGAGTTAGACAAACCAAAGAAATAGGTTAGGCCAGGTTTACAGATGGATATTTGTGTGTATAGCAATGCATAAGTGTATGGCCTATAATAAGCCAGGCTTTCAATTACTGTACAATGAGTTTGATAACCTGAGGATTTTACCATCCTAGATGGAAAAATGGATTTGATTATTGGGCTGTAATTAACAAAATAACAAAAAAACTAAATCAGTTTTGTCTGTGTTTTAGAGTGATAGATATATGTTTCTTCTGGTCCAACTGACAAAAATCATTCCACATTACAACAATAATAAGTAAAAAACAAATAAATATGATCTTAAAATATATCATATTAATATTTCATAAACATGGATGTAGTTGCTACAACATGAGAGCATTTGTTGAAACACCCACATCCAAAATAATTGTAGTTAGGAATTCATTGACAGTCATAAGAAAGCATGAGCTGAAGTCTATGCTGACATGAAGTAGAATTGTTTCTTTTACAGTGGATGGTATAATCATTTTATTTTTTATTTTAATATTATCATTAACTGAATTATTTGCACATGCACTGTCTACTGTATGCTGAAGTACTCACCAGTGAAACAACAATAAACGTCAATCCAATGCGGCTTGTGTCTGCATGTCCTCAGCACGGCGAGGAGGTTTCTCCAGCAGCCAGTGACCTGGCCATGGTGCTGACCAGAGGGCTGAGTATGGAGCAGCAGAAGAGCAGCAGAGACTCCCTGCAGTACTCCAGCGGCTACAGCACAGAGACCACAACCCCGTCCTGCTCTGAGGACACAATTCCTTCACAAGGTGAAACTCTAATCTGCTGTTCTCTTCTACTCTTACCACTGTAGCTTTTAATCTTGGTCTTCCTGAGGAGCTTGCGTTTATTAAATTCCTCGTGGCCACATTCATCATCTTATATTTTGTAAGATCTCAGGAAAGACAGACCTGTCAAAGGATGATATAATGGACTTTCTGAAGTTAAATACCAATATTTAGCTTTAATCAGCTTCATCACTTTCACTAGAACCCCAGTCTTTAGAGTATAGTGTTACTGAAATCAAACAAAGTGAACCATCATTTTAATCATTTAACCAGTGAGAACAGTGTGTGACAGGTACATACTGACAGTTCCCTTGACAGCAGCTGGGAGATGACAATATAAAGATGAAACTAGTTATATATATTTAATGTGTTCATGCATCATTGTACTGGTTCTCAGTTTCTGACTTCCTTTGTCCACATAGCCTACTCAAATAATGTGGCTATCCCTGTGTTAATGCAATAATGTGATCACAGAACGTTATCTTTCCTATCCTTCTTTTGTTATGGCACTTCTCTTCTCTATCACTTCTCTAAAAATGTCAACATCTCCTTTTTTACTCCCCCCATCCCGACATTAGGTTCAGATTATGACTGCTACTCAGTGAATGGGGATGCTGAAGGTCCCGATGGACAGACAGAGTTCGACAAGTCCTCCACCATTCCTCGCCACTCTAACATTGCTCAGAACTACCGACGCATGATCCAGACCAAGAGGCCAGCCAGCACGGCCGGGCTACCCAGTGGGGTTCTTGGTCCTGGGGTTCATGGGATACCAGGACAACCTGGTGGAGCAGGTGGCGGTGGAGCAGGTACTCCAGGCACTGCCACCATCCGCCGAACCCCGTCTACCAAACCAGGCGTGAGGCGCACACTGTCCAATGCGGGGCCCATCCCCATCCGACCACCCATTGTGCCTGTCAAGACCCCCACTGTTCCAGGAGACTCACATTCACCTGGCGCTGGTGGGGGTGGGTATGCAGGTGGAGGGCACGCGGGTGGCGTGCCTGTTCGTGTGGGCAGCGAAGAGTGTGTGTTCTTCACAGGAGTCGAGGATGCACAGGGAGCGCTTGATTATGTGAAGGCGTCACCAAAGCGTCTCAGCCTGCCTAACACCGCCTGGGGATCAGGGGCAGCATTAGAGGTCTACGCCCAGCAGCATGGGGGCCTTGCAATGGGAACGGGCTCAGGGGCTGGATCAGAGGAGGATCAGATGATCGCGGCCAATCGGCACAGTCTAGTGGAGAAGATCGGCGAGTTGGTAGCCAGTGCACACGCCCTTGGAGAGGGGCAGTTTCCTTTCCCCGCCCTCCCCGATGACCCAGCCCTGCAACCAACTGGCCCCGGTGACAGTCAGATGGCGACAGAAGGGGTAGAAGGGTCCGGTGACATGTTGACCACCATCAGGAGAGGAGTCCGCCTTCGCAAGACCGTCTCCAATGACCGATCAGCACCGCGTATCTTGTGATTGGAGGAGAAGCAGGAAGAGGATGATACTTGTCAGCCAGTAGGGAATCAGGTGTTGGTGTGGTGCAACCCAACCGCCTAGTACATACACAAGAACTTAACCATGTAGGGAAAGCTATAATATAACAGAAGATGAATAAAAACAAAAACATACACAAAAAATAAGTTTAAAGACGTCATTAGAGTAAATGATATATAATATAATGATAATAATAACATTAATAATGTTAACCCATGCTGACAATTAAAAGTTAAATACTGAATATTGACAGGCTCCTAGCTGGCCACTATAACTAGTGTGTGTTGGACGCATGTTTGTCTTCTCTACACCTTCACCCAGGGACGGAAAGACTTGCAGGAAAAACAGATATGATTAAAAAAAGGCAAAGAAAGAGAGAAAGACTGGGTTCTGTTTGCCAACTTAGACCCTTCCCCATCCTCTTCTCCAACTAACCGACTGTCTAATCCCAGATGAAAGACTGATGACTGAAGGAGGGGGCCAGTGGGGGCCGGAGAGAGGGGGGTCAGAGTGCCATGTGAACAGCTGGATTTGAACCCAGGCTGTCTCAGCAGCAACATACTGTACTTATTAGCCCACTGAACTGAAGCTTTGGTATTAGCACGGGGAGCTAACAAGCCAGAGGGCTCCTCTGGTTCATCCTAATGTAAAAGAGTGTTTAAAAAAATACTGTTGGCATTGAACCGTGCTAGTACCCCCTTCCCCTCTCTCTCTCTCTGTGTGTGTAGTGTGTGAGTGCGCGTGCATTCATGTGTATGCATGTGGGCAAATGTGAAATGTGAGCGTGTGTGCACGTGATTGATTGTGTATGTGTGTGCGAGGGGGGTGGGTAGAGCTCTGCTGCAGGACAGCTGGTTACCCAATGAGGGCAGGGCTTTTCTCCTGTGTGTTGTGTGTGTACTTTCTTGTTTATATCGTGACGTCATTTACCTTGTTACCACTGTACGAGAAGTTACGAAAAGTAATCCAGGCGTATAGATATATTCATATATATTTTCTAGAACCAGAGAGAAAATGTTAAATCAGAAATGGAGCAATAAATGTGTTTTATTTTCTTGTTTCCAAGAAGAGGATCGATGGAGGATTGTAGGTTCTCCTTTGTCACATTCAGGCAATCATCAGGAATGCTAAATTACACGTTGACTGTGAATTCCTTTTTGGCGTGTCTCTCTCCCTGTCCCTGTCTCTTTCTGGTGGAGGAAATGGATTACAAAATTGTTGAAAAAAAAAAAAAAAAACTGTAAGCACTTTGATAGGTGGTAGAGTATGTACAATAGCCACAAGGTGTTGCTGTAGTCATACTGTATGATAGGGAGGGTGAAAGTGAGAGAGATAGTTGCCAGTAAGACTGCGTCCTGAGGAAATTATTTAATTTGTGGAAGAAGAAGAGAGAAAGGGACAAAGAGGAAGTGATATAGACTGGTGGAATCGGAGTGATTGGTCAAATGAGAGATGGGATAAGAAAGTAGAGCAAAATACTGATCTAAAAATGGATTGAACGTCAGTGCTCTTCAGGGTTCTACAAGCCATCGCCTGCTGTGGATTGTGAATGGCACTGAAGCTTTTTATAATGTGGGTGCACTGGTATCTGAAGGACTGAACACATAATGCAAAAAAATACACTGCACAAATAGGTAAGACTACTTTTGCCTATAGACTTTAAAGGGTTGGTTCACCCAAATGGCAAATAAACATATTTACTCACGAGTCATGCAAATTGTTTACTGGCTCAGGTTAAGATATATGCCTCCACCCCATAACAGAGGAGGAACATTTCATTTTGTTTGTGGTACATTCAATTTCAGCATCTCCTCTTTCCTTTGGATTGTCTCTAAACCTCAATTAGACTACATTCTACCACGATAAGCACATTTGATTGATTATCAAGAGCAACAGGTTAGCAAGGCAACATATTTAGATTTTCTTGTGTGTAAATTAAGTTTTAGTTAAACTGAAAACCACCTTCACAACACTGATCTAGCAGTTGCACACAAAAATCTAGGCAGTGCTTTTGAGAACTGATACAATATCACACAAAAAATATCACAGTACAATATTTTCTTTTACCCCAATAACAAGGAAACTGTTTCAGAAGAATATTTTTAATGATTTTTTTTCAATACTGTGAACACAACAAATGAAATTGCATAGATCTTACAGTATGTAGAAAATATGCATATTATGCAATTTGTTATATGTTATTTGGGTTCAGCAACACACAAACATAGATCAACAGTGGACTTGAAATGTATTTGCACATGCAGATTATGTTCATTGGATATAAATTTGAGCGCACTCATTGAATGCTGTGGGACTGTATTTCCGATGTCCAAAAGATTAAATTACAAAGTAATCTCCACTCATGTTCAAGTGCAAATACATATCAGCACAAAGACTTATTTGCAAATATATTCTTACCTATAAATACTGTATAATTTTGCATTATGAGACAGAAAAGTTTAGCCTTATACAAATCTGAACAACAGTTTTTTGTCCCAGATTTGCCTGTAGTTAAAACCTTGCTATCTAAACTAAAGTGGCTACCCCATTATGGTTCAGCTCAGTTCAGTGCATCAACCCAGTTCAGCTCAGGACACGGCTGTATGAAAGGATTATTTATGGACATTAAGATGTGAGAAAAGGTGAAGCCTGTTTGATGCGCTTGCTGATGGCAAAGAAGCAGAAGGGTTTAAATTAGACTTTTTATGCTGACAGAGAGAGGAAAATATGTGTGGAATGAGCATTTCACTGCCTGTTCAAACAATATTTACTCCATGTGCTGTACCTGTAAATGAGAATCCGGCGCACAGATTTGGTATAAAGGTTTGTTAGAAAATATTACATGGAATATTCAGTTTTTTGTTTTTGTTTTTCATTCTGCAGTACTGTTTGAATATTTAGTCTTACTTTTAATTAATGTAAAAAGAAGAAAAAACTCCAGTTGTAACACTAAACTGTGTAACATATGGATGTAGGATGTGTGGGCCGAGAGTGAGTGTGTCCTCGTTTGGCTGTTGAACTGTAGGCTAGTGAACTCTTCATCATCATATCTGTACGCTCTTCTAGCAGTGACCTGAACATAGCCGGTGACATCAGCGCTCTTATATGCTCTTTTTTTCCCTTCTGAACAGAGCACTGTTTTAACCTTGTTTGTGGCTGTTTGAAAAGAGAATGATGATGATTTAATTTAAAGAGGTAGAGAGGAGAATGTTTGCAATTTTTAAACATGGTCACCCTCTGCAAGCACACTTTTCTTTTTGAACTTTGAAGGAGTGCTTTGGCGAGGGGATTTTTTTTTTTTTTTTTTCGTCTGGGGGAAACTACTGTATGTGTGTTGTCACATGTGGATGCTGTGTGTTGTATCAGCTGAATCTGACTGGGTGAGAGGGTGGAAGGGGAGAGCAGCGGGCTTGGACTCCACCCCCCCCCCCAAAAAAAAAAAACATTTTGGGTGAGAAAATGTTGATCTGAAGAGTTTGTTTAAGACCGCCTGTCGAGGTCACACTGTACATGAATATACGTACGTCTGCTGAATGTACTGCAAGGTGAAGGGGGACATCGGACTGTACATTTTTGACTTGCTCGAACTATTGCAAGGTCAGAACTTTGTTCTCGTACCATGGAATTAAGTTTCCAGTTTAAACAGTAAGAAAGCAATACAGAGACAGTGTGCATGTACGTACATTCACAACGATGTTCCAGTGTGGGCATGTTAAAGGAAAATACCACTGTTTTGTCCACTCAAGGATACTTTTGTTCTCCATCTAAAAGCTACTCCACATCGCATGGCTATGATGGCCTGATCTGGAGTTTGGGACACTGTTAGAATCTGAATGTGTATGTGTAACAACTGAATTCACTGCCAGTTTACCTACAGCGAGATATTTCCTGATAAAAGGGTTCATAAGGGCCTGCAGAACAGACTCGCTGCTTAATTCACAATGATCATGGATTATGGAGTGTGAGATGAGAGGAAGATAAAACATTGCTATTTTCCTTTAAAATGCCCAGTTAACAGCACAAAATGTTATCTAACTTATCAATAATGTCTTTTTTTAACATGCTGAATTAACTGTGTACTGAACTAACTGTCTGAACAAGCTGAAATAACTACTCTGCTACAGGTGTGTCAATATGCCCATGAGTGTATGTGTATGTGGGTAGAAGTAGGCCTACCAAAGGACATTCTGTAGGAACACACATTGACACATAGCCAGATTTACATGCGTGCAGGCATGCGTGCATACAAACAAACACGCACACAAGCACAGATACACATCATAGGATACACACAAAAAAACGATCCCTTCTTCCTTAACTGGTGAAACGACACAGTCCCAACTACAGCATGTCCAAAAGGAACTGGCACTGTATTAAGTAACATTTTGTTTAAAATTAATTTCATTGTTTTGAGTTAAAAGGTTGAAAATATCCCATCTATACTCTCAGTAACATCACATTTGAATTTATTTTGCTATTAGCTGCTAGCGTGTGAGCTAGACAACATCTAGATCAATACAAACATGGAACATTGAACATTCCTTTCATGTTGCAAGTAGTTACATACAGTATGCATACTTGAATAGCAGTTGAAATAATGACTTCAGAAAGTACTGTATTTCAATACATACAGCTAGCCCAACCGATTATAGTGCTGTTGAGTATCAGGTATACTATGACTAATATGAGTTTACATAGACTGTCCAGTGGAAAATACTCTTATTAGCTTTCTTGCTGAGAATTAGATGAGATGATTGATGAAGCTACTTTAGCTTAGCATAAAAACTGGAAGGGAAAACTGCTAGCTTGGCTTTTCCAAAGTTAAATAATCCACCTACCAGCATCTCTAAGGTTCTCTAATTAACATGCTATATCTTATTTGTTGAATCTGGACAACAATCAATGTGTAAAAATGACAAGTTGTGGTTTTTTTGGCACCTGGTGGAAATAAAATGAAGAACCCAGACTAAAAAGCAAATTTTCCTAAATGTTGGGCTATTTCTTTACGTTTAATGGAAACTTAGTTAGAAACAGCAGGATTGAGACGTCAACACTCAACAGCACCATTATCTGAAAAGCATGGGACCGTAGGAAAACTGCCGATTAAGCAACTATGGAATTTGTGTTTCAACACTCACGTCTTTGACCATCTAGTATAAAGTATGGGGAGAGCAAAAGAAAACTGCATTTACATATTCCTCTGATCCCAGATGTTTTACACGCACTGTATGTTTCCCTCTGTTCTTTTTCCTCTCTATTATCTTCCTCTTTTCTTACGACGCCCCTCAACTTCCATCCACTGATCGGCACGGTACACCCAGGGATGCCGTCTAGCTGACAAGTTAGAAAACAAAACTTGTCATGATGAGAGTCCCATTGGCTGTGCACGGTCTCTTTGTGCCTCGCAGCCCATCAAAGCTAATGAAAAATAATTCTGATGAAGTCTTTATTATTTTCACCAGTCCACAGTGAATACACACTATTTCTCTCTCTGTCCATTTCCTCTTCACTCTCTCTGTGTGTGTCTGTATGTCAGTGTGCATGTGTGCCATGTTTCAAATGTGGGTGTGTGCTAATGGCTAACGGGTGGTACCATGATGGGTCCTGCGTGTGTTGTTCAAAGAAGGGCTGGAAGCATTAGCTGGGGTAAACTTCTCCCTGCTGTAAACACTAACATGAGCTGGTTTCAAGGCGAGCAGCTGGACGTCTGACGCTCCATCTCAGCGCGATTACATTTTAATTAATTTTGATCAGGCTTTTTAAGACATCTTTTTGGCATCATCTCACAGGCAGCTTATATTACTTTGATGGTGTCTTGGTGAGCTTCTGTCAAAGAAGCCTACAAGATGCAAGTGCAAGCAGTAATTCAACATGCAGTGGGCCTTTTTACCCACACAAGAAATCTGCTGGTGTGTAAAGCACATGGTTGGTAAGACCACTGAAGCACTGTGTGTTAATCAATAAATACTATTGGTAGTTCCATTAAATTGAAATAAACTGGCTAGAGTAAACACCTCTTAAAGGGAGACTTGGCAGCAGTGGCAGCTGTGACAGTAACAGCATGATGGTAAATGTTAAGATGTAATGTAACATTAGCTAAAATTATAGTTGGCATTAGTTACTGGTACAACTAGAGCTAAAATTATAGTTGGCATTAGTTACTGGTACAACTAGACCGAGCAGGGCTGTAGCAGCAAAATTAAAACTATATATTCAAATCACTTTAAAAATCAAAGTTTTCAACATAGGCCTTTATGCTCCAAATGCACCTGAATAAAAGCTTTTTCTATTACAGGGACTTTCAGTAGCAACCTGTGTTGCCGTTGTTCGGCTTTGATTTCGAGATATTCCTTCTGAAGACCTTTATAATAATGTTATAGAGATAAAGGAACGTTTGAGTCAACATCTTGTCATTTTGCTGTTGCCAGATGTGAATTAGTGGAAGTAATATTAGGGTAAAACAGAAGCTGCCTGTTGATGGTAGATAAACATGAAGCATGAAGCTATGGCCAAGTTCTAACTTCTCTCAGCCAGTAAACTTGTTGACTGTCCGCACCTCAGCTGAGTTTCCCTGGTTACTCAGATTTATAGGAAACTGGCAGACTTCCACTGCGAGCATTTGCTCGCAGCATGAGCACGCCACTAGAAATCTATTCGGAAATTTTGTGGATGACAGCCCTTACTTGTAGCGTGGAATGCGTCTCTTCATAACTTTGATTCCCTTCAAGCCTGTATACACTGGAAACTTACTCTATTTCCTAAATAAGGTTTAAAATATTTGAAATAATTGAACTGAACATGCTGAAGTTCTGAAGCAGCTCACTGATTCAAAGACGTATTGTGAATGTGCTGTATGTGCAACCCACTCTTTTAGCCATCTGCCCAGGTTATATTAATTGTGTACTTTATGTATGTGTGCATGTATGTGTGTTTTGCACAAGGACACGTGGTTAAGACCCCTACTGTTCCTCCCTCTCGCCTCCCACACACAATCTGTCAATCCTTCCTGCCGTCTAATACTGGACACTACACATTTACACACACACACACAAGCTTTCACACACGTGTCTGAAGCAAACATGACTAAGGTAGATTCTCTGAAGCTACATGATGGTCCTCCAGAGGATCATGATGAAACACGTTGCAACTTCCTGTCATACAGCCGTGCAGAACTAGAGTGGCCAAAGTGGCCTCCTGGTGCCACTGCAACTAAACTGAATGTCTCACTGTCAGTACTCAAGTTCTCACTAGTGTCTCTCGCTGGCTCGCTCGCTTGCTCTCTTTCTCTTCTTCGTCCTCTAAAAATGAACTCAACAATGAAATCTCTCAACAAGTCACCATTGATATCATTTCTGTGGGGCTATTTTGTTCAAAGGGTAACATTGTGACAGAGTTGACATCTGCTTCATCTTTCTGTACAAACCGATCTTTCGCTCCTCTCTGCCCTCCCGGGTAGCCCTGCAGGCACTGTGGTCTTGTCTTTCTCTCTTCTTTCTGTCCCCTCTCCTGCTCTTCTTTAATTTATTGTGATTTGATTTCCAAGGTTGTTTCGCCTCTGTCGCTGATGATAAGGTTTTCTTTTCTGTCTTCCTTTTTTGTAAAATTGACCCTTTTTTTTGTTAACTTTAGTCACTGCTAATGTAACAAAACGCACTGTGATGATTCCAGTATTAATAAAAGTTGTACTTAAACTGTGCGCAGCTGTGTGAAGAGGGTCTTATTAGTCAACACAGAAACAAGGTCCAGGTCCTGAACCAACTCACACAGCTCAGTAGATACAGTACACAGAAAGAAGTGAATGAATGTGGGTCAGTGAATTGTCTGCATGCCTTCTAGAGCCACTGTGGGGCAGAGAGACAAACTGAACCAAAGAATTACAACATAACAGTGTGCCTCTGGTGCTTTCACTGTGAAGGTTATGTGTGTTCACATTGGTCAGGAAGAGATTACAAATAGAAAGATAGCTGTAATTTTAACAATTACATTCTTTTTGTAAATAAAAAAGCTTTTCTAATATAAATCCATAACATATTTAGAAAGGCACTAATCGCTCTTATTTATTACTAATTAAAAATTTGGTTGAATAACAATTGTTGGCTCCTTATATACAGTACTGATCAGTCATGTGACTTGTAGCACACCATAGAGACTAAAAACAACATTATCATCAACACAAAATACTTACTAGAAGTATACATACTAGAAAATACCATATTTACATATACAGAAATGACCATGATACATAAAATATTGCAGCCATCTTTTCTGAATATTTATTAACAAATACAATCGCACTAGGGTTGCACCAATACCAGTATTGGGTATTGGTCCAAAACTGTGCTCATGTACTTATGTATCATAAAAGTACTCTGATACTGCAGCCGATACCATCTTACGGTAGTGTGACATAACATAACGGCTCTGTGAAGGAGAACCAATGTCGGCAGTTGCAACATTTAAAATGTTACAGTCAGTGTGGAAGTGAGGAACATCTGATGAAAATAAAACATGTTTTCAAAGTCATCGTTACAACTGTGATAGTATTAGTAAGTACTCGTTATCAAAGTACCTAAATGTAAGTACTTGTGGTATCACAACTTGAATGGTGAATATATATGCATTGATTTTAATTTATCAATCCAAAGCAACTTATCTTAACTCTATTTGAAAAAAAAGAAGAAAATTCTCATTGCCAAAACATTTTTAAGTGCCAACATTTTTTATACTCTAGATGATTTTTAAGTGGACTTGGCATCAGTTGAGAGAATACATTCCTGAATGAAAAGACTGACAATTCATCTTGTATCTTAACAACTGAGAGCGCAGAATGTGGGCGCTCATAGTTCGATCAAATAAATTGTGAAGTATGCCACAATTAAAAATATGACTCAATTTGTATGCAGATGTTTTCAGTTCAGCTCAATACTTTCATACATTTATAGAGCACTGACATGTTTTATGGAAACTTAATTGAATATTAAATCACAATTGGCTGTCTTGTTCACGTTCTGTTTAAAATCTGAATAAAAGAATAGAGTAGTTGGTTCACAACCTGGGGGGTCGGGACCCGTGAATCTGAGGAGTCAGAAAGCATTTCTGCTCTCCAAATGATGTTCTTTTCTCTGACTTTTCTCTATATTTTATTATAATGGAACACTGGATAGATTTACCTTTACAGGTGACTAACAGTCATTCCCAAAATATGCAAATCCAATACTGTTTAGGGACCCCAGTATGCAGAAATATTCAAATACATTCGGTAAAAATTGTGAACACATGCAAAAAACTGCATGGGGTTAGCATAAAGTGAGCTTGTCTGCAAAGGGGAGACTTGTGGGTACCCATAGAACCCATTTTCATTCAGATATCTTAAGGTCAGAGGTCAAGGGATCCCTTTGAAAATGGCCATGCCAGTTTTTCCATCGCCAAGATTTTGCCTAACTTTGGAGCATGACTTAGTCCCCATCCCGACACGCTAGCATGACATGGTTGCTGCCAATGGATGCGTAAGGTCCTCTAGTTTCATATGCTTCCCGTATCTTCATCTAGCTTTAAAACCACTATAGCTTCTGAAAGACACTAGAGTAGAGGTAAGGATAATGGGATGGCACTTGGGGTGGAATATGACACTTACAGACATCCTGCAGAGTTGCAAGTACACCCTGCCTGTCATAAAGAGTCAATAAGGCTGGGAACCACAGCTGTTCAGCATTAAATCCCTTCTATATTACAATTTTCCGTAACTTTAATGATCACACACTGTAATTGTGGAGGGTTTACTAAACCTCATACAGTGCATTTTGCTTTTTTGCGAATATACTTGAATCAAAGGGATTTGCATTAACATTGAAGTGTAAATGTAAAACAAGAAACGCTTACATGATTAATAAAAAAAATATTCATGAGTGTTGGAAAAGCCTTGAATTATATTTTTGAAGTAACCAACTACACAAAGACTAGGATGACAAGATGACAAGG